GATCGCTTACCATATTTCGTTTTTATACGGGCTGCTGTCTCATCTTAGTTATATGAGAAAAGGCTATTGCGTCAAATTGTTGCATATTCGATTCATTGTTAGAACATCAACGATTAAATTAAAATTCCTAATGCTATGTATATCCTGCTTCTTATTAGTGTTTCCATCGTGAATTTTCCAGTTTCTTTCCAATTTTATTTGTATTCCTCTATTTACACGTTTAATCTAGATTTTCAAGTCAAAGCGTGCCATTAATAAAAAAGTCCTTAATTTTTTAAAAATTTTTGTTTTTATAGTATTAGTTTATTGCAACAAGCCATTACTCTGTTATCTTAGTTTGTCGTATAGCTAGCCTACTACAAATATTTTTGACCCTATTTTTAGAAAATAGTTATAGTGTAACTGTGACATCGTTCATATCTGAAAACGCTGTAAAAGTGGGATTTCATTAATCCATTTCAACAGATTTTGACTGATCAAGTCAAAATGTGCTGTTAAGTTCACTTCCAATGCGTCATTGCCAAATTTCTGTTTTCTACAATCCCTTATGATACTTTTACTACTGATACTGATAATTTAATACTTATGTTATACTTTTTGTTAAAAACTTAGCTTATGATAAAAATGTCATTTATTTATAGCCTGACAGACAGACTCTTATGTACAGTGCAACATGGCCGAAGGAAGTGAGGAATTTGGCTGACGAGTTTTTGAACGACTGCATATTTATTAATATCGGATCTCTTGAACTTGCTGCTAATCACAACATCACTCAGTATGTGGATGTAGTCGAAGAGTGGGAAAAACATGACAGGTATCAATTTTTTGCTTATGCCATATTTTGAGCATTATGTTGGTGTTCACCAGTATCATTAAGTTTTCCTGAAAGTTTTTTACCCTATTATCTGAAACAAACCTTAGAGTTAGTATTTGTTCTTTCTTGTCCTTTGCATTAAATTATTTTAAATGTTAATGCTTTTGTTTTATTTGTAATCTGTTAATGTGTAGCTTCCCAAAGCTGAATTGATAATTTTCACGATGTTCCTCCATTTAGAACAAATTTTTTATGATGGATTTTTAGCGTCAAAATATTAGGAGTCTCTAAGCGAGTTGGCCTTTTCCACGGTAACTTCTACAGTGTGTATATTGTGGTAGGCAGTAAGTTTTTCACTGACGACTGTCTAAGGAACCTAAATAAAATTTTTTTATCTGTTGTCGTCTAGAGGTATGACGTGTTCTTATCGTATCCAAGATATCTTTTTTACATAATGTTTCATTTCACGACGAGATCTCTCTTTTTTAAAGTTGTGAAAGTGTGCCCTAAATTGACAAGGCAGTTCACAGTTAAAGCGAGTCTCTGCAATTAATACATGAAGTGGCGAGAAGAAAGTCGGAAGAAAATTCGTTAAAACAACCATGGTTTTTTTGTTATTTTGGTCATGATTCACAATATTGTCCACAGCAATCTGCGTTGCAAAGTGGTAGGTATATTGTGATATAATCAAAATATGGTCAGAATATTGCGAAATTGTGATTCCATTATACAAAAGCAACTAGGTATTTGTTTAGGATTTGAGTACTGCATAATTCAAATTTTACTTTTGATGAATAACAGTGAACTAGTAAAAGTTTAGTTCCTATATAGAGACACCGTTCAATCATCAGTTAAGCTTGTAAAGTTAAATATAGTCTGAGTTTTCGGTTAAAACCAACTCGAACTTCGTAAAACATTCTTTGTACTACTGATATTTATCCAGTGTATTTTAGTTCATTTTATTTATTCACTATTTTGTATTTCAGTTTCTTTACTGTATTGTATATTTATAAATGTAAACATGTATATCTGGACTGTGTTATGTCAGCGTATACCGAACAATTCTTTTAGACTGCATAAGCTACTTGAGCAAATTACAAGGGAGTGCGATCCAAAAACTCTCATTTTCGTTGAAACTAAACGAAAGGCCGATGAGCTTACGCGTTGGCTACGACGAGAAGGCTGGCCGGCGTTATCGATTCACGGAGACAAGGCTCAGGGAGAGCGCGACTGGGTTCTTACAGGTATGTCTCTGTCCAAACTGGTGTCATTTTTATTCAATCGTTCATGCTATTATTGTATTCATTTTGTTGAATGAGCGGTTAACTTCGGCATCTGTATTTTTACACCCCTTCTCGTCACTTAAGTGGTATCAGATTGAAACTGTAGAATGAGTCATTGGTATTATGCTGGTTTTTCACAAAATACACTTAATGGTTTTACACAGATCTTTTACTTCCTTATTTTTCCTATGCCAGAAGCTTCTTCAAATCTTAAATCCTTCTTTTTCCGTTCTACGCACTGCTGTTGAGAACACATGTATGCGATTTTTATTCATTGCGTCATTTCCGTTATGCATGTAACTGTTCATAATAATAATCACTTCGTGACGGTGTGTGCCGAAACTTTCGATTTTCAGTCAAGCCAGTAACGAATGTTTTTTATCGCATTGTCATATGATGTAAACCTAAACCTGAATAAACAAGGCCGAAACTGGCTACAGGTAGCCTTAGCGAAAATATGGTTAAGCCGATATGTAGCTCATAATGATTATGAATCATTGTCGTTTTTTGTTGATGCCCTAGTTATTTGCTGCCAGCTCTGCAAGGCCAATGTCATTTCGCTATCATCGATGTGCTAACCGAAAAAGCCGTCGTTTATCAAGGAATTGATAATTAGTCTATGCGACGTCAGCGTTACAACAACTCGTGACAGAGGCACAGGATTTAATTGACTACCTTTAGTTTATGGCGGTGAAATAAATGTACTCAAAATTGGTTTCCTTTTAGATCACTGAAATCATTGAGTTATGAATCGTCTTTAAGAAAGCCACACGCCCACTAGGTTGCCTACGTAAAAAAATGCGTAACGTTTCTATATCAGGTGTAAAAGAAATTCAAAAGAAATATATAGTGCAGCAGAGATGTCTTAGTTACGATATCTTATCTTTTCGCGGAAATGTTTACCTATCGCTAGTCTCGCGATGTATAGTGGGCTAAAATTTTGGGCTAGCTATATTTGTGACTGTTTACTGATGAGTGTGTTTTTGTATAGAGTTTCGCACTGGCAAATCACCCATATTGATCGCGACGGATGTTGCGGCTCGCGGATTAGGTAAGTAGATAAATGCAGTTTCCCAATTATATAACTGTGCTACCGTAGCGTTTTTGTCTCTGACCTAATAGCTTATATGATGTTTTGCTGTTGACAGGTAATTTCGCAACCGGGTTACCATTCCAGAAAGAACAAATGGCTGGGCGTTGCAGTTTGCATGAAGTTCGCGCAACCGCTCCGCCTAGCTGTATAAATGTTCGGTGATGGTGGTGGCCTGCCCGTCTGTCTGTCTTTCGCCTTTCGACAACCCACTTCGACTACAGACGTTTCGACGCGTCATTAAAACATTGATTGTCGCTGTCGTCGTCGAAGGACGGGTTACAGGTGGCCGATCGAAAGACTCTGGTGACTGCATCGCATCTGGTGCATATCCAGGGTGAAAGTGAATGAACGAAATCGCCCACCGACGCATTCTCATCGTCGATTCGATTGTACCATCACACTGCCCCCGGGTGGCCCCGTAGGAAAGATCGCGATCATATGGGCATGAACCGTTCTTCATTCACTGTTCTCTGCTCTACCTGCCATCAGCTGCACCTGCACGCAGTTGGTCGGTTGGATCGGATAATCCATGACCGTGCGATTTCCTGTGCAGCAGCATTCGGTATAGTTGGACCACTAGCGTGTAAAGCGTTAAGGAGCGCATTTAGAGGCAGTAATTGCTACGGTTGCACTGGTTCGATAATAATTGCGGATGCTTGATCGACCGTTCGATCAGGTATGTATATTTATAGAAGTTTTAACGTTGTGTACTGCTGCTAGTATCGTTTTCTTGGACGTGTGCTCTTCACACTGACTTTTTTGCGTCTGAACTGAGACAACGGTTTTTCTCTCCTGTTCCCTACACGAAGGGTTTGTTCAATCCTGTTGAATTCAAGATCATGGTTTTGCTGTAGTGCCTTTCCAGCTCTTCCACAGCTCAGATGCAAAAATATGTTTTGCTAGCAAGCACGGGCAGTGCATGATGCGCTCTAAAATTACTCACTTTTGGTGCGTTTTAGTTAACTATACTTAAGTCTGAAAAATGTGTACATATTTTCAATCCTACGCGTTTGTGTAATTTCGTCTTAGTGGCTGAATTTGTGCTTATATTATGCTTTATAAACGTACGTCCTTTTTGCTGATATCGGCAAGTCGATATTCTTAACACAAAGTTTATGGAAATCTTTTCTGAGGCTTCAAGTTTATCCCTCTGTAATGATTTTGAACATTGCTCTTAAAAAACAGTGCTAAAACTAAGACAAATTCGGCCAGATATATTTCCTGTTGAATAAGAACGTGATGGCTGATTTTAGTGTTATCTCAATTGCTCTCTGTTTTGCAGATGTGGAGGATATCAAATACGTGATTAATTACGACTACCCACAGTGTTCTGAAGATTACGTGCACCGTATCGGTCGGACCGGTCGTTGCAACCGCAAAGGCACTTCTTACACGTTTTTCACGTTTAACAATGCAAGAAATGCCCGCGACCTAGTGCGACTGTTACAAGAAGCTGGTCAGGTGGTTAGCCCACAGCTGTTGCAACTTTGTGAAATGTCTAAGTCAGTTAAGGGTAAGGGTAAGTGGAACTTTCCACTTTTATGAATTCTGTCTGACGTAAGTGTTTGTTGTAGTGACGCAGGTTTAGAATTTAGGAACTTACTACATTCATTCACTACCGTAATATGCCGAGTACGGAAGTTACATCAAAATTTTTCCTGAAAACTATATTTCTTATTGAAGAAAATAAAGGTCATTTATTTGCAGACCGATGCTTAGAACTGCATTACATTGTTCGTTTAAGGGCTACATTGGCAGAGGCTGATGTCTCATTAAAACATTAACCTGTTAACGTTTAATCCACGCTGTATGTAGTTTAGTTTCTTGCTAAACTACTCCAGAGTCTGGCTCAAATTTTATTGTTGAGGGCGAGTCTAGTTAGCAAGCCTGCGTTCTCTACTCAAATCAGTTATAAGAAATTTGTTATCATGTTGCTTTAGGTCGTCATGGCCGCTGGAAGGAGGATGACAGTATGGGATACCGCGGTAAGCGCTTTTTCGACGACAACATGAGCAACGGATTCTCGAAACGAGGAAGATTTGATGGATCAGACCGTGGCATGATGAGCCGTCGAGGACGTGGCGGTTAGTTCATCGCTTTGTCTGTTTTCTCCGTTAGCCACACTGTCTTCGAACGTACTCTATTGTTTCAACAATAAAAAATAAATTTTCTTAATTCCTGTTGAGTTATACTTATCTGATATAAGAAGAGGCATTTCCATTGACCTTGTGCATTCGAAGATTTGAGGAGGACGCTGTTACATTTTGTCTTTTGTATTTCGTAATTGTGCTTCTCGCAATTTGTTTTGCGGAGCATATTTTTCGCGATGATTCTTCCCAGGGTTGAAGTAACGGGCTGTTTTCATGAATGTTATAAACTCTTGTAGGAAGACTGTAGCTACACTGCCTGCGTGCAGTGCTGTTACTGTCTTCATGGATGTCGATTATCAGCAGTGGTTTGAACCAACTGACTAACGTTTTTTAATGAAGAAAATATCTTTAACTTGATCTTTGTTATTTTGATTTAACTTTAAACCATTATATGGAGTCCAAAGCCTTCTCGTCGTTCACAATTATCTGTATTTTTGTAACCGGAACGTTGTTCCCTTATCTAGTGTGCATGATGTGCATCAAATTGGAATGACCAAAGTGTGATCGATAGCGAGGTAGCGTAAAAACGCTACCGGTCTCTTCTGATGTGCAACTAATGTTGATGTAACCACCGAAACCGATTAAGACAGCCCTCTACAAGATGACGTTATGAAACTGCGCATTGGCTGTTTCTCGTTTCGGTTAGTGGATTTGTTCCAATCGAATGCCTTGTGTGTCTAACGGCGGCTTTTACACTATTAATGCAACGTGTATAAGGCTACGGAGTAAGGACATATTTTTCGATGAACAAAGAACTTTTAGGCTAAACTTTAAAAAGCAGGGTCGAGAAATGAAATGTTTACCACGATGTAGTACGTGAGCGAGCTTCCAGCATTCAATCTAGTTGCTAGGCTGAAACGGCTATAATACGGAATCTCTGAATGCACATTAAAGTATATATTTTATTAACTACAGAAAATATTTAAAGTTTATAGCCAT